TACCTCACAACCAGGGGTCAGCTCTGTTATCCTCATTTACACCAGAGGTCACTGGTGCCCAGAAGGCTGCAGTAGTGAGCTGAGGGCACACAGCTGGGCCGTAGTACATGAATGCAGGCTGTCTGCTGGCCAGCTCTCTGAGAAGTAACTATAGAGCTGCAGCTGGGGGCCTGTGTTATGAAGGAGACTAGCTTGGTGACTGTGAGCCAGTAGTCAGGGGAAGCCTCTCTGAGTAAGGCGAGTAAAGAATGCTGTTCCAGAGGAAAGTGTTCTAGGCAGTGGAGCCAGCATATGCAAAGACCCTGAGGGGTGAGGTCCTCACACGGTGACAGTTGTGTTGTAGCTTCAGGTCAGTTGCATTCCCCTCGGTGTCTTTGCTTCCGCTCTTTGGAAGTACTGTGGATTGGATCACTTGAGGTGGACATTCGAGGACATATGGCTGCGTGGCCCACCCTCACCTGCCCGGAAGCCTTGTGAGTCAAGGCCATGACTTGCTGTGGTTTGCTTTTGACAACCCACTGAACCTCTATTTGTTTTGGTGACTGTCACCACTGTGGGTGCACCTGGGCAGCTGACCCAGGCCTGACATCTGTGGCAAGCAGTGGCAGCAACTGCAGCCTGTTTCTATGTTGTCTCCATGGTGGCCTCACCAACTCCCTCTGACAACTGGCAGGGCACCCTGCAGGGCCTGGGTCACCACTGACGCAGGCTTAGTGTCCCCAATGGCGTGAGTGAGTCTCTGTCATAACAGGCAGTGGGTGAGGAGGCCAGCACCCACAGCTCTCTGCTCACCTAGTCAGCACGCCTTGATCAGGGCAGGGCTGGAATTTCCGTGACTACACAGCCTTGGAGTCCTGGTGTGGCGCTGTGGGATAATATGCTGGACTACAAAGTTGGCTTGAACTGCAAGGTCAGCAGTTCAAGCTAACCAGCTGCTCCTTGGAAACCCTATATAGGGGTGCTATGGGTTGGAACCTACTCGACAACACTTAACAACAACACACAGCCTTGGGACCTGACATCCAGGCACGCCTGGGGTGCCTCTTGGAAGAGACTGGATCCTGTTCCCCAGAGACTGTCCTATTTCCTGGTGGTTTGGGGATAGCTGGGCCCAGGCCATCTCTTATCCGAAATAGCAGTTGACATGTCCCTTCATTGTACAGAGGACAGAACAGTAAGGGGCTCTGGCCAGCTCTTGCTCTGGGTCCTACCTGACTACTGGGCCTGAGGGCTGTGGGCACTGCCTGTCCAGAGCCAGAATGAGTCTCCAGCCACTGAGCCAGGAGTGCCAGAGACCATGTCTGAACCCAGTCCAGAGGAACTTGGTGCAGGTCCCTGGTGGGAGGCTTGGCCTGTGGGAGGGGAGGGCAGGGGCCACTCCTGGGAGAGCATGGTTTGTGGCACTGTTTGGGCTCTGGGTAGATTGGGGAGTATGCTTTAGTCCCTGCTCTCCCACCCTTGTTATGTGGCCCTGGGCAAGTCATCCCTCCTGGGAACAGAGCCACCCGCCCGCCTGGTGTGAGTGCCTGATGCTGGGCCTTCCTTACAGGTAACAGGAGGATGTTTCCTCAGCCATCCGTCCCCTCAGCTAACCCTGCGGGGTGTGGGCATGGGTGCTGACAAGCCCAACTACTTGCCCAGTCCCCAGTGAGTGATGGTGCCAGTTCAGAGCCTCACCTGTACAAGTCCTAGTTATGGGAGAGTGTGACAAAGGGGAGACCTTGGAGTGGGAAGGAAGTGGGCATAGCTCTGACTCTGCACTCCCTCTCTAGGAACTTTAGTCTCCTCTCCCAGGGATGGTGCATGCTGGATTGAGTGGACCCTGCTGGCCACCCTCTCACCTCACATTTCTGTTGATTGAGGAGGCAGCTCTGGATGGTCCTCATAGATGAGAACTGGGGCCTAGGGAGACAGGAAATGTGCCCTGGGGTCCAGCTTCCAGGTCTGGTGGGCTTATACTGCCCCTATGAAGTGATCTCTCTGGACTCAACTCTCCCAGCCTGGCTCAGAGGGAGCTCACAATGTTAAGTGTCAGGCGTGGGTATGGGTGACTTACTTGCCCTTATCTACAAATTGGGATTCAGTCACTCTGCCATCATGGGCTGCCAGTTCGCAGGAGGGGAAGCCAAGGCTGAGAGAGGGGCAGGGCTAGCATGCACCCACCCAGGTACTATGGAGACCCTCAAGCTCTGCCGTGTGGTGGCCGCCTGCTGGGGCTTTGGTGCATTCTTGCGACAAGGGCAGAACCTAGTACCTGCTATTTCTCAGCCTATTCAGGCCCCTGGCCTCTGTCTGCTGAAGCTGGTAGGGTGGCAGAACTACAACCTGGAGGAGTGAGTGCTGGGGGTGGCGTGGGGGAGTGGAGGGAGGCAGGGGCCTGGCCCCAACCTGACTAGCTCTGCCCTTGAAGACTGTGTGGGCTGGGGAGTTGTGGTGGGAGGGGTGGCTGCAGGGCTGGGGTCTTCCCAGCTTGTGTGGAGGAAGCACTGTTTGAGGCCAGTGGGCCCCTAGTCAGTCCCTCAGGCACCCTCATTCCTAGCTCTTACTCAGCTGCTCCCCCTGGCTGCTTCACATGTTGTGATTCAGTTCCCAATCACAAAAGGACAACTGTTTATGACCTCATTTATATAAAAAGAAAAGAAGAAGCAAATATAGAAAGACCCAAGTTTCTTAGTGTTTCCTAGTAGTGATTAGTGGGGGGTGGGGGGCAGTTCTTGCTTCTGGAGTACTTACTTACTGGGTTTTGTTCTGTGGTGGTCATAGTTCTCTAATGCTTCTGTAACAGCAATACCAGAAATGGGTGGCTTTGAGAGCCAGAACTGTACTGTCTCAGCTTAAGAGGCTGCACGTCTGAATTCAGGGTGCTGTCAGTTGTGGTGAATGCTCCTTATCTCTTTGAGCTTTTCCTCCTGGGTGATCTTCTTGTGACTTGGCATTTCTCATCCCCCCATCTCTGCTTACTTACTTGTTTAATCTCCTCCCTGTAGAAAGAGCACTGGACTGCTAGCCACAAGGTTGGTGGTTCAAACCTGCCATATGCTCCTTGAAAAACCCTATACAAGGTTGCTGTGAGTCAGAACTGACTGCATGGCATGTAACAACAATATATCTCAAAAGGTGATGTCTTGTGCTGATAACCGCAAGGTCAGCAGTTCGGATGAAAAGAGGCTTTAAGTTCTCGTAAACATTTACAACCTCAAAAACTGTATTTAGGGTCACAATGAGTCAGAATTGACTCGATGGCAATGTATTTATATCTCAAAGGAGATAGACTCAAGACCCATCCTACTCTAACCCTGTATCATTAACATAACAAGACAACGCATTCTCAGATGGCATTATAAACACAGGCATGTTGTTTTTATTAAGTGCCATCATTGGTTATCAATCCAATGCTTATCTTACACCACCACACCAGGGTTCAAACCACAGGCATAGAGGTTAGGATTGCAACCCACAGCAATGGTGATGGAAAAATCACATTGATTAAACGTAGGATTGCACAGCTAGTTAATGTATATGCTGTTAATAAGCTGTACACCAGTAAAACAGGGAATTGGTAAAGTTGTGTGCTTGACTCAACAGAAAATGAAAAGAGTGCCTGCTGAGGCTGCGTGAATACAACCGAACAACACCTCATGGGATTGGGCTCTTTGGTTGAAAGGTTTAAGGGTCCACGAAACATCACAGTTAATTGACCTCATACTGGGTTTAGTGTGTTCTGTACCGGCCTCTTAATTTTTTGCATAGTGCCTGGGATCTTAAATGCTTGTAAGTGGCCATCTAATATATAATAACTGGTCTCTGTTCTCCTGGAGCAACAGAGGACGAAGGAGAGTCAGGGATAGGAGGAGGAAATGAATGTTTGCCTAATTGCCACCACAAACAACTAACTACTTCCTCTGTCACGAGATCAGAATTGAAACGGTGTCTGGCTACCATTACTGAACATTTTGATCCAAGTGTCTGTAGAAGAAACTGGATCAAAAGGAGGACAGTGCAGAACAGAATTTCAGGTTATTATGGATTCTAGATTTTCTATAGCCATGGAGACTAGATGAACTCTTGAAACTGTTGCCTAAAGATTATCTTTAAAGTCTTCAAAAATATTCCCTCAAGTTGTCTTCGTTTTTAATTGCATAAAACGAATTGGATGAAGGTCTTCGAAACAATTGTTTTCCCTTAAACAGTTCATTTGCATTTTGTTTCACGTCAATGATTGCAATCCCCATGACAAAGCTGACAGAGCTTACCTTTCTTCCTCACTGTTGTCCATTTCCATTCTTCCTTTCCTACCTGCCCAGCCTTCTGAACTGTGTCCTTGGGTCAGTGCTGCCCTTTTGATTTCAAATAGTTGATTATTCTGAGCATGCGTATCTCCCTAATGGTGGTGTCCACTTTATAGACCTGTCTGTTGTTGGGCTGCAGATTGAGCCACAGGGGTGAGTAAAGTTCCAGGTTTAAAGTGTGACTAAGGGTCATACTCTTGGGGGGTTCCACCAGTTTCTATGCGACCAGTGAGCTGGCTCTGTTTTTTATGACTTTGACATTTGTTCCACATTTTACTCCCATCCTATCTAGGACCTTTTAATGTGATCCTTTTCAGACTGGTCAGCCCCTGAAGTCTTGTTATGCTTTTAAAAAAATTTTTGTGGGATCAAATTGACGGCAACAACTTAAATTAATTAGGAAGCTTAGCGGGCCGTGAGGGTATGTTAATAGGGGAGGAACAGCTTGGGAAAGGAGGGTGAGGATGGTGGCAAACCGTGAAAAATGTCATCAGTGTCACTAAGCTGTCCATGTGAAATTGTTGCACTGGTGTGTATATTCTCAGCAAAAACAACAAAGTCAGGTAATGCTTTTAAAAATCAAAATACTTAGCTCAGTGCTCATTGGAGCTCCTGGGGTCTAGCCTCCCAGCATTGTCAAGCTCTGGGAGAACTGGGGGATGTTGACTGAGTGGGTGATTGACCAGCTGCCTCATCTTCTCTCCCCTGTAGGAAAATCTAAGAAGAAGAAGGATTTACGGATATTCTGTGTGCCCAAGCCCCCAGCGGTCAACACCACGTGAGTCTACTACTTGTTTCTCCTCTAGGTTCAGGCTGGAGAGGCTTCCTGAGGGGGGTGTGCCTCAATCTCAGGTAACTGTCTTGTACAGCACCATGCATGGCAGCTCCGACAGGGACTCCTGAGTGGAGCCCACCCCCTTCTCAGAGCTGTCTTATAGAAGGGAGAAATGAGGTACTGTGGGGGTGGCTGGCTGGGGCTTTAGCCATATGGACATCACTCTGGTCCTCTGCTCAGGACTGTGGAGTGAGGATATTTTAGGAGATGGACCTCCTTTAGGCCTCTGGAAAAGCTCTGCTTTCCCCTAGGCTGGTTGGCCGGAGGGGGAGGAGGGGAGAGAGTGTGACTTTCTGAGCTCACAGGATTTCTTTCTCACAATAGGCCCCCCCGGAACCTAGATTCCCGGACCTTCATCACCATAGGAGAACGGGTAGGTGCTGGTAGCATCCTCTGGCAGACCCGTCACTTCCCTGAGCCTCTGTGTCTTCATTGGATAAATCTGTGGGGGCCACTGCATGGGGCAGTGCTGGGCTTGACCTCTCTGACTCTCTGTGACTATGCCGTGAAATCCTGCCTGCCTTCTGGGACCATTGTGAGCTCAGGACCCGTGCTGGGCTTCCCAAGCTGAGTTCTCAGAGCTGGAGTCATGGGGCCCTCTGTCTGCTCCTGTGTTTTCTCTGGTGTGTAAAACATGCAAGACCTGCAGAGTCATTGAGTATCTACCTGCCTATTTATTTTTGCATTAAATAGACTCTTTTGAAGATTTTATTGAAATATAATTGAGATATATAATAAGCTGTATATGCTTAAACTACATAATTTGACAAATGTAAATCTATATAATTTTTAAAAAAAATTTTTTATTGTGAATTGGGCGCAGGTTTGTAGAACAGATCAGTTTTCCATTTAACAATTCCTACTTTGCTGTATCTCTGTGATCACAATCCCCAAACGGAAAATCACTTAGCCTGTTTCTTCCTTATGTTACCTGTTTTCATCCCACTTCTTGTCCTAACTCGTCAGAACTTTGTCCTTGGGTAAATGTTGCCTTTTAATCTCCAATGGTTAATGATTCTAAGGTGTGCATATCTCACTACTAGTATTGTTCCCCTTGCTGTGTATACCGTTGAGTCACTTCTGACTCAAGGTTTCTAAGAGCAGTTGGTGAGTTTCAACTGCCGATTTTGCAGTTAGCGTGGTTAGCTGTACAATGCTGGTCTCCTTGTTCTCTTTATAGACCTTTCAAATGTTTTGCTGAAAACTGAGCCACAGTTCCGTTTCAGACCTGAAGGGTGAATAAAGTCTATAGTCTGGGGCTTCCAACATTCTCTCTGACCAGTAAGCCTGGTCTTTTTTATGATTTTGAATTTTGTTCCACATTTTTCTCCCATTGCTAGGACCTTTTGATAGGATCCCTTTCAGCATAGTTGGTAGTAGTGGTCAGGCACCATCTCTCCTTCTGGTCTCAGAGTCGCGGTGAGTGATGTTCACATGGTCCGCTAGCCCATTGGATTAATTGTGTCCATGTGTCTTCAGCTTTCATTGCTCTTCTTTCTTCTGAACACCTTAGACAACTGCTCAGGAGCTTTTAAGATCCAAGAATATAGATGTATATTTTAGAGAAGTTTTAGGTTTACAGAAGAATTATGGAGAAAGTTCAGTTTCAACATACCCTCTCTTCTGCCGGCATATAGTTTCCTTAATCGTTAACATCTTCCATTCTTCCATCTTACAGCATTGATGAACTAATGCTACTACATTGTTAGTAAATAAAGTTCATAGTTTACTATGAACTCTTTGTGTTTTACAGGCCCAGGGGTTTTGACAAATGCATAATGTCATTTGTCCACCATTATATTATCATGGACAATAGTTTCATGCAGAATAGCCTTAAAAAATGCTGAATGTTCCATCTGTTCATCCCTTCTCCTTCCCATGAACTCCTGGTAACCACTGTCTTTGTAACCATTGCCACCCAGTCAGTTTAGACTTACGGCAACTCTACATGTGTCAGAATTGAATCATGCTTCTCAAGGTTTTCTTGTCTTTTTTATTGTGAAAATATACTCAAGAAAACATACATCTAAACAATTTTTATATGCATAGTTCCATAACACTGATTATATTAAAATTATTTTACCATTAACATAATCGTAGTACCCCTTAAGCAGAACGCCCCACTTCCCTTTCCTTTTCATTCCTTTCCACCCCTGCTGTTGTGGTTAGGTGCCATCGAATCTCTTCTAGCGCGTAATGACCGCACGTACACTACCCAGTCACGTGCCAGCCTCATAATCTTTCCCATTCTTGAGCCCATTTTTGCAGCTACTGTGTCATTCCATCACATTGAAGGTCTGATTACATCTCAATGTCAAGAAAACAAAAATCCTCACCACTGGACCAATAAACAACATTCTTATCAATGGAGAAAAGATTGAAGTTGTCATTCTTTTTGGATCACGGAAGCAGCAGTCAAGAAATCAAACGACATACTGTATTAGGCAAATCTGCTGACAAGACCTTTTAAAAGTGTTGAAGAGCAAAGATGTCAGCTTGAAGACGAGGGTGCACCTGACCCAAGCCATGATATTTTCAGTAACCTCATATGCATGCAAAAGCTGGACAGTAAATAAGGAAGACCGTATAAGAAATGATGCCTTTGAGTTATGGTGTTGGAGGAGAATATTGAAAGTGCCATGGGCTGTCAAAAGAACCAATAGATCCTTTTTGGAAGAAGTGCAGCCAGAGTGCTCCCTGGAGGTCAGGATGGCCAAACTTCGTCTCTCATACTTCGAACATATTGTCAGGAGGGACCTGTTGCTGAAGAAGGATATCATGTTTGGTAAGGTGGAGGGTCAGAAAAAGAGGAAGACCCCAGCGAGATGTATTAGCCAAGAGGCAACATCGATGGGCTCAAGCGTGGCAACAGTAATGAGGTTGGCTCAGGATCAGGCAGTGTTTCTGCTGTGCACAAGGTCACTATGGGTCAGTACTAACTCGATGGCACCTAACAACAACAACAACAACAATCCACTATACTAAGCAGAAGGTCCTTTTCCAGGGCCTGGGCCCTCCAAAGTACACGAGACAGTCTCACCATCCTCACTTCTAAGCAGCATTCTGGCTGTACTTCTTCCAAGGCAGATTTATTCATTCTTCTGGCAGTCCATGGTATATTCAATATTCTTCACCAACACCATAGTTCCAGTGCATCAATTCTTTTGTGGTCTCCCTTATTCATTGTCCAGCTTTCATGTGCATATGAGGCAATTGAAAATACCTTTGGCTCAGGTACACCTTAATCCTCAAAGTGACATCTTTGCTCTTTAATACTTCTTAAATGGGTATTTTGTAGCAGATTTGCCTAGTGCAATGTATCATTTGACTTCCATGAGTGTTGATTGTGAATATAAGTAAAATGAAATACTTGGCAACTACAATCTTTTCTTCATTTATCATGATGTTGCTTCTTAGCCCAGTTTGAGGATTTTGTTTTATGTTGAGGTGTAATCCATACTGAAGATTGTAGAATTTGATTTTCATCTATAATAAGCACTTCAAGTTTTCTTTGTTTTCAGCCAGTAAGCTTGTGTCATGTGCATACTGCAGATTGTTAAAGAGATTTCTTCATATAGTCCAGCTTCTTGTATATAACTCTGGCCCACACCTTTCCTGATTTTGATTACTCACTATCCCCTTATTCTGTTTAAATGATTTATTTACATGTCTCCTATAAGTAGGATTAAGTGTTTGTAATTCCCATTCTTCACAATGTTATCCATAGTTTGTTATGATCCATACAGTCAGATGCTTTGCATAGTCAATAAAACAAGTAAACATCTTTCTGATATTCTGTGCTTTCAAACCAAGATCCATCTGATGTCAGCAGTGATAGCCCTTGTTCCATGTCCTCTTCTGAATGCAGTTTGACTTTCTGGCAGCTGTCAATATGTTGCTGCAACCATTTTGAACTTTCGTTAGCAAAATTTTACTTGCATGTGATATTTATGATATTCGATACATTGGGTCACTTTTCTTTGGAATGGGTACACAAATATGGATATCTTCCGGTCAGTTGGCCAGGTATACCTTCATTGCAACTTGGATTTCTTCTTTAATACTATCTTGATCTTGAAATGTTGGTCATTGACCAATTCCTTTTGGGACAGTGACTGTATATATTTCTTCCATCTTTTGGTACTTTATGCATCATTCAATTCAATATTTTGCCCCTTTTTGTTGTTAAGTGCAGTTGAGTTGCTTCCGACTCATAGCGACCCTGTGTAGGGTTCCTGAGAAGCAGCTGGTGGATTTGAATAGCTGACCTTGTGGTTAGTGGTCCAGTGCTTACCCTACAGTGCCACAGCAGAACCCCAGTTTTGCCCATGTTGTTGTTAAGTGCTGTCGAATTGGTTCCAACTCTTAGCAATCCTGTGTAGAGTTTTTGAGGAGCAGCTGTTGAGTTTGAACCGCTGACTTTGAAGTTCAAACAACCTTGTGGTCCAGTGCAACCCACCCAAGGCCTGAGTTTTTTCTTCAGTTCTTTCATCTTGAGGCATGTTGGAAATTTGTTCTTCCATTTTGGTTTTCTAACTATTGGTCTTTGTACATTTGATTATAATACTGCATCCTCTCCAGTTGTCCTTTGAAATGTTCTGATCAACTTTTTTACTTCATCATTTCTTCTAGTTGCTTTAGCTTCAAGAGTATTGAATTGTTGCATTTGAGTTATGGTTGGAGAAGAATATTAAAGGTACCATGGACAGCCAGAAGAACATACAAATCTGTGTTGGAAGAAGT